GTCCAGCGTTGACTGGTGGAACCTGTGGGCACAGGGCAGCTGTTTCCAGCTGCAGGAAGATGCAGCCACGGCTGTAAAATCTGGGCCCAGCCTGGCTCCCCCAGCACAAAATCCCAGCTCCTCACCACCCTGTGTTCACTCACTCACAGCAGTGTATTTCTTTCTAAAGATCAGGTCTCGGGGCAAAATCCCTTCTGTCTATGCAACCAGTACTGACTAGCTCAGGCATTGTCTTCCAGAGACTGCAGGCAGCCTGAAACAATAGGGGTGTGAGGATACGTTTCCATTTTTGGACCATGATAAATCTGAAACGTAACAGCAACAGCTCTCAAAATGGCCCATGTTAATTATCTGTTTGGGAATCGGTTTGGTATTCAGCCATCTCACACAATCCCCAAAGGCCTGTTGTCCTGCATTACCAGAAGGGCCATTTAACCCCTCAAAATTGGACAAAGTCTCCAGGTTCCCCTTAGAAACTTTCAGACACGAATTTGGACATCAGCAGCACAAGGGAAACGGGAAGCAGGCTGGGGAAGGGTGGCCTAAAAAGTCCTCAGCCTTCAATGTAAAGAAACAAACTAGGGACAGACTGGGTTGTTGTTTTTCATGTCCAACTCCATCCACACCTCAATTTTTAAAAAACCTGCAACCCACGCAGTCAGAAGACAGCCCAGAGCCCGGTTTTAGCAAAAAACCACTGGGCTACAGAGCACGGCTTCCCATTTTTGGGGTTTTGCTGACACCTGGTGTTCTGGAAATGATGCTGAGACATCCTGCAAGTCCCTTCCTTGGCTTCTGCTGGGATGGCTGCTCTCCCGGTCCCAACCGTGTGTCTGGGACCTAATCGTGAAATTGGGGAAGAACCTGAGAAAAGCAGGTGGGCATTTAGATTTCAGAGGCACCCTTTAACCTCTCAAGTCCAGCAAAGTGCTGCAGCAGCAGTATTTGCAGCACGCCTTGTTTACTGCAAACCTCACCGTATAGAGGTAAACACTTCCTAACTTCAGGAGTCAGGGGAACTGCCAGGGGGGGCAGAAATCTCAGGTTTCATTTCTTTTTATAGAGAGTTTTGGGGTTTGTTTTTTTTGCAAGGAAAAACAATCCAAACCAGGGCAGCCATTCAGGGAGAGCACCCAAGACCTGGCAAATGAAGCTGACTTCAACAGTCAAGCATTGCTGAAAGCAGTATGCTTATTTATAAAGTTAAAAGCACATTCTTCCCCATAAAAATAAGAGAAAAAAAAATTAAAAAGAGGAAAACCAATAAGCAAGAAGGCACATTTCACACCAGTAAAGGAGGAAAATGAATTCTCATGACATCTGAACACATTCAAATGCAGAAATGGGTGGCATCAAGGATATAATACAATGGAGATTAACAAAGATCTGTTTGACAGAGATAATTTCTCTTTTTTCCCCTGGTTCATGGGCCTGTGGGAACAGCAAAAGGCTCTGGCTCTGCTTGCTATCAAAGAAGACAAAACGGCCCTCACCATAAAGTCCCATCCCAGTACCTCCCTTCTTCACACAAACTCGGACTCTATTGTCACTCACAGCACTTAGTCCCACCCAAATGATGTTTAAAATTCAGGAAAAAAAGAATGTTCAGCTCACAGCCCAGACTGACACGAACTGCTCCTGCAGGCTCTGTCCAGCCTCTCTCCACAGGAAGCCCTGGAAGGCCGGGCCCGAGGAGAGCCCAGGTCACCCTGGAAGCTGAGAGGAGCTCTCGGCACCGAGACACCTTGGGAAGGAATCCTGGTGCCTCCTGTGCCTCTTGTGCTTCCCCTGATGGGAGCTACTGGGATTGGCATCTACAAACCAGGTCGGAAAATCCTGAATGAAAAAAGAAAAGCCACACTTGGTGGAGCTTTTCCTGAATTCCAGTGTTTGAATCTCAGGGATTTGAATTCCTGGTGAGGAATTTCACTACTTTTTTTTTTTTTCTTCTTCGTTGTTGCTTTTAAACCCTTTTCAGAGTACAGGCTCTGCAAAATGTGTCCCAGCTCTACACACCAGTGACAAGATCTCAAAGAGCCCAAGGCTGATCTTTAACTAAGGACAGTGGCTCCCCCAGGAACAGCAGGCACCAGCTGCACGTGTCCTCTGCCAAACGCTTTGCTCGACCAGCATTTCCATCACATTCCAAACCCCTGCCCTGCCCAAACCAGATCACTTACATCTCCCCAGGCAAACGCTTCTGTAAACAAAAATCCCATCAATAAATCCACCACAAGGATTTCAACCGCACAAACATGCACAGAAAACACTGAAACACAAATTAATAAATAAGAAGGATGCGGCCGCTCTCCTGCAACTCAAGCTGTGGTTCCACACATGCAGGGGGCAGCTCTAGTCCATCTCCTCCACTGAACACCAGACTTGGTGTTTGGGATCTTCTCCTTCCAATCTCCACAGGTCCAACACCCACTGCCCAGTGACACACAGACTTTGGGATTCAGGGATGTGCCACATGCTCAGTGCTTCAAGCCGTCCGAGTCCTCGCTCCACCTCAAAGGGATCAGTGCAATCCAGCCTTCCAAAACCTCACAAAGGTCTGGAAAACCCCTCGTGCAAACAAGCAGTAGTGCAAATCCTCTCACACCATCGTCCCAGCCTTCTTCACATTGTTTACACCCTCAGTACTTCCAAGCTTCTCACTGAAAGCCACAGTGATACCAGCCTTTCCATGTTACTGCACGGCAAGTATTGATCATTTTGGGGCAATAATTTGAAATTTCACAAGTCCTGAAGTTTCTACTAGGAAACTGAGGCAGTTCTGTAGAAAAAGTTGCCTGGTATGAAGCAAACAAAACCACAGCTCGCACTTTTTGCCTACAAATCAGGCGTTTCACCTACTGTCACACACAGTTTTCAAACAGCCTGTTGGAGTGCACATGTTTACAGGGCCAACAGGTTACAGCTTTGTACAGCATGTTACACCCTCTCCTGGAGGATGTGCATTCTTCTACTGGAACACCCTGTAGGTGTTGTAATCTTGATTAATGATAATGAAATACTCCGCTGGCTTTCTGAATGCCTGAGTAGATACATTCCATCCTCCTGAGGAGAGTTTCAGGGCTGTTACACCACAAACACTGTCTGCTCAGTAGTGATTCTTTAAAGTCTTTTGCTTAAAAAAAAAATAATAAAAGAAGTAAAGCACCACTAAGTGTTTGCACTTGGTTCAGTGTAATGAAGGAAGACCTGGGTTCATCAGTGCAATGTTTGAAGGGAGTAGGAAACAAGAGAGCAATTCCTACTCAGGCAAAGGGCTCTTCTTTGCTAGTAGAAGGAGAAACACAGTCTTGGATCTTGGTTTGTCAAATTCTCAGTGAGGTCCTTGGGCACTGGATTGTCCCACAGCCTACAATGACAGCAAAGATGTTACTGCAGGATGAGGTGTGGTAGGTGAGGAGGTCATGCTGATGGCAGGTGTGGAAGGCAGCTTCGGGTTTTCCTTAAAGCAGTGAGATAGGACTAAGGAATGTCTGTATCTCAGCACCACAGCAGCAACCTGCTCATGGAGATGGACTCACTTACCTGGCTTGGGAGAGAGATTAAGGCCTCAGGCCACAGGATCTCCGAAAGGGGTTAGGAAGAAGGGAGTTTGAGACAAACACCCTGACTTATGAGAGCCACCCATCTACCTCATTTCATAGAGCCTACCCAAAAGCTTCCCATACTGGGCCTCTCTATCTTGTGAAGCAGATTGCCCCAAGGAGTCCAGGGGACTGGGCTGTGCCCTCCAGTCTGAGCAAGCACACCAGGCCCCAAGCTCCAGCTGGGACCAGGAACGTTCCTCAGTGCTTCCTCTTGGGCTGCTCTCATCACTGGGGAAGGCAAAGCCTGTTTGGGGCAAAGAGGCAGCTCAGGTAGGAGCAGACACTTGACTGTGGGACCTGTGTTGCCAGCAAGTTATCAGAGGTGCTCTCAGAAGAGACTTTTCAGATGAGTGAAGGATGATAAGGTCTCTCCTGCAAGAGGTTTCTGGTTGAGTTTGATACACAGCATTTGGAGAAGCAATGACAAAGACTGGGAAAGATCAGTTCAAATGTGTGCAAGACATGGATCCCAGGACAGAGTGGGACAGGCAGGAACATAGCTCAGAAGTGAAATCAGATGTAATGGGAGAAAAAAAAGGTAAAGGGAAAAGTGCAGCAAGCTTCCTGATGGGGACATGACACAACTGAGCCTTCATTTTTACCTCTTTAAAGCCAGTAAGCATTTCAGTCCCTTTTTCCCAGGACTTTCTGAGGGGGTGGAGCTGGCTTAGAAAGCCCTCTGCTGACTTGGCCTGTGTCTGTGTCCCTTGCAATATCCTATTCCATGCCAGCTACCCCAGGGCAGCAGGCTGGCACGGGTCACATCTGTCCCAAGGCTGGTCACCCCCATGTCTCCTCACTGAGCCACAGAGCTCTGTGACCCCTGCTCACCTTATGAGTTGGATTTCGGGGCACTTGGCAAGTTCCTCTGCCAGTTTTGTGGCCCCACAGGCTCCAATGTGATTCTTCTCCAGACTGTTTTGGAAGCAAAGAGAGAGTTTTAAAATCCAAGAGTGTTTTAAAATCCAAAAGCAAGAGTGGAAACAGCTGACTAACCACTGGCTCCTTCTCCTGCCCCAGAGGAGCTCCACTTTTGCACAAGCACAGCAATGCCACACACCTCCCTGCAGCCTCCTGGGGATGTCCATGGCCCTGTGTCTGCAGGAAGTGTGTGTGCATAGTTCCCTCTGACCTCCTTCTAGCAGATCTCCTGCCCCTGAAGCACTCTAACAGATCCCACTGTGGGTGCCAAGATGTGCTAAGTAACGACTCCTCCTGCCTCAAGACTCAACCTTCCTGCTTGTACCTGCAGGACAAGCAGGCTCTACTGTGTGTTTTCCCTGCCCAAGACAAACAAAACTGATATTTTCATACAGCTGAGAAGACACACACCATGTATTCCAAAGGGCCAGGGGGAGGAAAGCTCCATGAGCAGCTCTTGAGCAGAAGGGGCATGTCTCTCCCATGGAACAGGGCTGGGCTGTGATGCCACCAGGCCAGCATGTGAGTTGGTGACATGGTCCCCAGCTGCTGGTTGCACTGCAGTCCCAGTACAGGAGCTGCAAGGGGCTTCCTGTGAGCTCCTGTGGCCCAATGGCCAGTTTGGCTGCTCCATCCTGGGCATGGATTGCTTGCCTTGCTGCAGGCTTTCCCAAAGGAAGGCTCCCTGAGCACCATACCCATCCAGACCATCCCACTGTAAAAGTTTGCAGGAAGCAGCTCATCTAAGGTCACAGGTGACATGAGTCCTATTCTAGAAACACCAGTTTCTCTTCCCTGACTCAAACAGGAGGCCCTCAAAGACTGGCTTCTGCTCAGACACCTACACTGCCTCTCAAATACCAAATGCCCCTCTGTGCTGGGCATCACCCACGTAAGGCTGCTCCTCGGTCCGTGCGGCAAGAATGGGAACTGCAACAGCCTGTCTGTCGTTCCCAACATCCGTCCCCTTTTGCAAGTGCTGTGACTGAAGGCCCAGGGACAGAAACACAACTCTTCTTCCTGGGGTTGCTCTCAGGACTACTCACTCTAAGATCTTCAGCTTCTCCATCCCTGGGAGAGCACTGGCCAACTCTTGGGCTCCTCCATCACCAAGGGCATTCCAGGAGAGTCTAAGATAGACAAGAAATCCCAACTCTGAGTCAGTTGATCAACCCAAGGGGAACCACAGCACTGCTGTGACACCAGCCCCTCCCAGCTCAGCCTGATTACAAGAGCTGATCACCCTCTTATCATGGCAGAGAAACATCCTCCTGCTTTACAAGCTTCATTTTGAGGCGTTTCCTCAGTTTCACCACAGATTCCCATGTATGGCAAGACATGGGGTAATGACAGCCTGAGGACTGTGGCTATTTCTGGAGTCCTGCAGGCCCAGGGAATGAGATGGGAAAGATGGAAAGGACTGCTGAGCACACAGCTTCACCCCAGGGCAGCTCCTACTTGTGCTGGTGCTGTTAAACTAGTGCAGCAGCTACGGTGCCTCTCAGACCTGCTCTTGCAGCTGCCTCCTGACTCTGAGCTCTTTCACAGGGCAGTTCACAGGGCTCTTGACAGGCCAGGTTTTTCCCTTTCAGCCCAGCCATTTCCCTCTCACCTGGAGAACAGAAACCCGGCCCAGCCCCAGTCAGTGCTTCCCTCAGCTGAACATCCTGGGGCCACCCCTAGAGCTGCTCCTTTGCCCAGGTCTGGGGAACTCCAAGATTTCTGTATGGCTTGTTAGAGCCAAAAAAAACCTCAAAAAGGCAGGACAGGATCCAGCTCCAGACCTGCCTTCCTCCAAACAAGCTCACAGGCTGCTCTGGGATCTCATGGGGGTCAGAGAATGGCTCACTGTGTCACCCACATTTTGCAATGACAACTCACATCTGCCCCCCCGACAAAACCAGACTCCCCCCGACTGCTACTGAAGGAGAATCTGCCCAGCTGTTAGTAATGCAGGAGTAGTAACTAACCACGTGGTAACCAGTCTTACTAGTTGCCATGCTGCAAGTGACACACCCAACACTGACCGTGGCTTCACTCATCACACGCCTGCACGGGGTCACTGCCAGAGCTCTGCTGGCTCTGGCACTAGCATCCTGGCTTTGACCTAATGCCCTGAGTCCTCAGACATCTGTCATGTCCACAAAGATACCTTCAGGGGGAGGGAGAGGAAAGCCTGGTGGCTTTCCCAAGCATCATTTCCCTCAAACCATCCACAAGGGCTCTGTAGAACTGAGGCACTTAAGAGCAGCACAACGACCAAATGTCACCCAGCTGGCCACAGCAGATTGATCCCAGGTCCTGACAGAGCAGTGATCTCAGCCCAGGAGCTCTGTCCCCTACCAGCACCTCCAGAAGCTTGAGCCATCATTAAAGCCACACATTAGATCAACCTATTGCACCCAGTGTGGAGGGTGGGAGTGCAGCTGGTGACACCCTGGTCATCCGTAGCCTGAATTCAGTTGGCTTTGAGCTCTCAGCTCAGCCTCTGCACTGCCCAGAGGAGCTCCTGCCTTGCTCTGAGGCAGCTGTGGCCACCTTGTGAAAAATGGAGGCAAGACTTGGACCAGGAAGAACAATACAAGACATTTGTCCTGCCTCTCAGAACAGATGCTACAAGACCAAGAATAATGGGTGGAGTCTGAAAGGACTGTTTCCTCCATCACCATTCAGCTCTTCACTTTCAGCTTCCAATAAAAGCTGCTACTTATACCAGAAAATTTTTAGCAGTGAAGATAGTCCATTACTAAATGGCTAGTAAATTTATCATTAAAAAGGCCTTAGAGGTAAAGATCAATAAGGACTTAGCAGCATCAGCAGTGAACTCCAGCTGAAAGAAGAGCTGAAAACAAGAGTGACCTGCATGTTGAAGGACCTCCCCATCCATCCCCACACTCACATTATTTCCTCCATCGAAGGGCACTGTCGGAGGCCACAAGAAAGTGATTTTGAAGCATCATCAGTGATTCCACAGAGTTTCAAGCTGGAGCAGCAAGGAGAGAAAAAAAACACAGAGGACACAATGTGGTGGTGTCAGCACCATCAGCTGCTCCTGCCCCGGCAAGGCTGCAGCACAGCCCGGCACACCCTACCCTGCCTGCCTGGCACTCACTCGATCTTCCAGAGGTGTTCAAAGCAGGGCAGCCCCTCAGACAGGGCACGGATACTTCCTTCCCCAAGGTAATTTTCTGATAAACTGCAAGAGGAACAGAGAAGCTTTGAGTGGCCACGGAAAAGCAGGTAGGGTGAAAGAAAAGGCATCGGTGCAGCGCAGCGCTGTGCCCTGGCGAGTCAGTCACCAGCAGCCAGGCTGTGCGAGGTCTCTGGCCAGCTCAGGGTAGGTGGCCTGCTTGGGAAAATGGGAATGACACCCACATGAGGCTCCACATGAGGCCTCACCTGGAGCACTGTGTGCAGCTCCGGGCTCCCCAGCTCAAGGACAGGGAACTGCTGGAGAGGGGACAGCTCTGCCCGCAGGCAGGGCACCTTCAGAGCCTGTCTCCTCTCAGCCTACAAGAAGTGTCCAGGATAGCTGGAGGGCCCTGGTGGAGTCACCCTTAGCACCCACAGAGCCACGTGACAGGCTCAGGCCTGCCAGCCAAAATGACTCCCACCCACAGTGACACCAGTCCCTGGGGCTGGCACCACCCCAGGTGCATCTGCCATGGTTACCTGAGCTCTTCCAGCAGCCTACATGCCACCAGGGCTCTGACCAGCTCCATCCCTCCTGCTGGCCCGATGTTATTGTGCTGCAAGCTGACAGAAGAAGAAACATTGCAGGATTATTTCAAAATAAACCTGTAACAAAAACTCCTATTTAACTCGCCAAGAAGACAATCACATCTTTAGAGTCTGCACTCAGTGCTGCTGATAACCTGGGATCCTTGTGGATTGGTCTTAGTGAAGGGGTCTGGAAAACAGGGAGGCAACAGTGGGGGCCAGCAATGCTGCAGGTCACATAGCTCCTGTCACTGTGACACATACAGTATGACACACAGTGTCACCAACACTTGTCCCTAAGGACATGCAAGCTCAGGGGATCTGCAGAAGCAAAGGCTGCCCAGCACCACCAGGAGCTCCAGCTCTGGGCACCTGGGGAGTGAACAACAGCCTGAAGAACAAAGAGCAGGTGGGAAATCTCATCTCTGCAGATTTTTCAACACTTTTCCAGTTAAGACAAGAATAAACCCAGAGGACCAAAGTCTCCCACTACTGGGATCTCTTTTCTAAGGCAGCTTTTGATGGTACCTTAGACACATCACTAGGCTAATGGAGCCCTGGGAGCTCTTCTAGCTCACCACTTCCTTGTTTTGCTACTGTAAATCAGTAGGAGAAAAGTCTCTTTCACATGTTGAGTCCTGGAAAGACCCCCACAAAAGGTTTAGAAATATAATACCACTGAGTTCAGGGGAAAAAATAAGCCAGAGGTGCCTGTACAAAGCAGTGAGGGCCCACAAAAGGTGCTCATACCTACACTGACATGACACCAGAAGCAGAGGACAGCTAGAGGCATTAGAAGCTGACACAGTCAAACCCAGTGTTGAGGGTTATTTTACTGTACACAGAAAGCCTGGCTCATCTCTCCAGTTAACACTTGAAGAATAGGTGATGAATAGGTGATGGGACTTGATGCAGCAGAGTCACTGCAGAGGGTTTCACAACCCTGAGACACTTGACATAAGGTCTAAACAAGAGAGCAGTGCACCCCTGCAGATTCTGCCTTTTTCTAGGCCTCCTTTCAACCATTCCACATATTCCAGGATTTCCAGCTTTCCTGGGGCTGACACTTACTGCAGGATTTTGAGGTTGGTCATGTGAGGCAGACAAAGGGCAAGTTTCACTGCTGTCCTGTCTCCAAAAACATTCCTGGAGAGGCTGGAAGGAGCAGAAATGAGATGTGAAGCCTCATTCCTCAGCTGTGTGTCACCCACAGGGATCTGTGACCCCCTTCCCCACCCACATGTGCATAGGACTAGGCTGAAAGGAGCTCATGTCCATGATTCAGAGGACACTGAGGGTGGCAGGACAGAACAAGGAGCTTTTGTAATCTTGCAGCAGAAGTTAAGCAATGAAGTAAAAGTGACTGGCACTTCTCAGGAGCAACCCTTCCTCACTGGGTTCTCCTGAGCTGGAATTAAACTGAAATTGAACTTTTTAACATGTGCCCTTCATCCATCAGACTCTAATCTGAAGGTTATATGAACAGGGCCAGCATTTTAACTGTTCCTTCTTCTCATCTGTACTTTTTACAATTCTATGGCAGGGCATGTTTGTTCTCTAAACTGGTCTGCAGGGGAGTGACTGATACCACACCTGGCTGAGTAAAGCCTCTGTTTGCCACCTTCCCTCCATTTTCTGAAGCCATATGGATTATTGCAGAGATCTGAGCACACATGCCTGTGACACTGCCCATGACACCACCCATTCAGCTCTTCCCCTCATGCAGTCTGCAAGTTCTTGGGAATCTCCAAGAGACTGCAGGGAACAAGCAACCCCCAAACCTCCCATACCAGCACCACACGCTGCTGTCCCACAGAGCTCTGAGTTTTTATCCTGCCCTCCTAAGAATTAGTGCTAAAGCTGATTTTGGCTTTCCTGGACCCAGATTAGATTTGGTTTCTATGCCTTTATTTTTGCCCAGCTTCCCAAAGGGCCATGGGAAAAGACACACTTACAGCAGCTCCTCCATCTGCTTGCAATAGGCAAGAGCTTCCATCAGCTTTTCCCCTCCAGCAGAACATGGACTGTTCCCTGAAAGGCTGAAATAATCAGGAAAGACTCTCAGTGACTGACGCAGACCCAGAATGTAGCAGCTGAAGGTATTTCACTGTTTGCCTGGTGTGATGGGCTGCAGGGCTGTGTCCAGTGACACAGGAAGGGCCCGGGTGGGGATTTGTAGAGTGGATTTGTCAAGGACTGAGTCACTCCTGCCTCTGCAGGTACTGGGGGGAAGGAGCAGTTTTCCCTCTCCCAGACAGAAGTGGGAATTTCCTTTTCTTGTTTCCAGGTTTTTAATTTCAAAGGAATACAAGGCATAGCCCAGAGCTCAGCAAACAGCCTGGATGCTCCAATTTCTCTTCCCTTGGAGGAGGGACAGTTTGAATCCACATGAACATGAAGAAGGACATGGAGGGGCTGGAGCGTGTCCAGAGAAGGGCCAGGGATCTGGGGAAGGGGCTGGAGCACAAGTGTGAGCAGGAGCAGCTGAGGGAGCTGGGAGTGTCCAGCCTGGAGACAAGGAGGTGAGGGGAGACCTGCTGGCTCTGCAGCTGCCTGAGAGGAGGTTGGAGCCAGGGGGGTTGGGCTCTGCTCCCCAGGAACAAGTGATGGGACAAGAGGAAATGACCTCAAGTTCCACTAAGACAGGTCCAGATTGGATCTTGGGAACAATTTCTTCCCCCAAAGGGCTGTCAGGCCCTGGCCCAGGCTGCCCAGGGCAGGGATGGAGTCCCCACCCCTGAAGAGGTTTCAAAGCTGTGTGGATGTGGAGCTGAGGGTTAGTTGGCATGGGGGGGTTGGGTTGACAGTTGGACTTGATGATCTCAGAGGTCTTTTCCAACCTTAATGACTCAATGATTCTATGATTCTCAGGGAGAGCCTTGTCTAGACACTGTGTCCTCACTTGGACAAATTTCACCTCTACTTCCACTAGGAAAAGAAAAGCAGAGCAGAAACACCAGGGGCCACCACACCAGGATCCTTGCACAGGCCCAGGAAAGGAGATGCCTGGACCCGAGACAGGTACGGTTCCCCATGAGCTTCCAGATTTGCTTTCCAGGACACAACTGAGCCAGAGATCTCTCTGTTGAAGCAGCCAGTTGGGCAAATGCCCAGTGCTGCCTGGGGGTGAAGCACGAGGACATGGCTGGGACCTTCACTCCAGAAAGTCTCTGTGCTGGCAGAAGAAGAGGCTGCCAAACCCAGCTGCACATGGGCAGGGAACACCTCCCAGCTGAGTGGTAGGTACTAGATCAGGTCTTTCCTGACACTGGCAGTTCTGGAAGGTGGAACACGGTGGACATGAAGGTGGCACAGAGCTTCCCACACAGGCTTCCCCCCTGGCTGTGGCTGCCAACCAAACAAGGGGACTCACTCGATCTTCTTCAGGTTCTGCATTTCCAGCAGGACAGCAGCCAGGCTGATCAGGCCTGCATCTCCAATCTTGTTGTGGCTTAAACTTTCAAGGAGAGAAGAAGAGAGGCTGTGTTGTAAAGGAAATGCTCCATGTCAGGCAAAGCACAGGGTCTTATTTCATGTCTGCTAGATGGCACCTCTGACCTTGGCAGCAGAATCAAAGGGCTGCCTGTCTCAACTACCTCATGAAAGGCTAAAATCTCCTAATGAGGCCTTAAAAAAATGTCCAAAGAACAATCAAAATCACTGGATCTTGGTTAATGGGTGGGAAATTACTTCAGCCAGAACACCTAGAGAGGCAACAGCTGGTGATCACTTGCCAGACACTGCAAGGGACAGGATCTGGAGAGGGAGAAGGGGACAAAAAGCAGAGCAAGCCTGGGGTTGGCTCTAGATTCAGATCTTTTCAGAGCACAGAAGTGATGGGTCCAGAGCTCTCCCAGGAGAGAAGGGGATCTCTAACTCTCTTCTGGATCCAAGGGATTCCAGAGAAGATTTAAGTCAGTGGTTGTTTAATCCATTTTCTACATGACTGCAGCAGAGTAAGCTTAGAACAAATTCTCCTCTGCACATCAAGCTCTGATTTCCTCCAGCCCCAGGAAACTCACACATGAGCATTTTGGAACTTCTCTGCTTTTGTGACAACATTGTGTGTTTTAGCACACCTGGGTCTCTCCAAATGTTGGCACTAGTGGTCACTTCTCTGCCCTGAGAGACTGCAAGAAAGGAGAAACTTACTTGATTTCTTCCATGTGGGGCATGTTCCTCAAGGCTTCTGCGAGGCTGGAGCAGCCCTCATTCCCAATGCTGTTATGGTTCAGGCTGGAAACGAGATCCCCAGGACAACAGACATTGAGCCAGTGGCATCTTAGTGTCCCAGCCAGGCCAGAGGCTGCAGTCAGGTACTCACATCAGCCTTTTCAGAGATGGCATCTCACGGAGTCCCAGCACCAGCTCAGGGATGGCAGAGCTGCTGAGCTTCATGTGGCCCAGGCTGCAAGATAACACAGCAACAACTGAGCACCCCTGGGCACGCAGCACAGAGCAAGGGTGGAAGAGAAGTGGCACTGGATCCTAGACCTGGGGAGTAGCTATCAATGCAATTCTACTGGACCTGTCTGGATTCTAATTAAAATACCAAGAGAACCTCCAACCTCTGGAGCAAGAACCCAGCCCCTCATGGAGCAAGTGCCACTGTGACCAGCAGATGGCAAAGCTCTCCCAGCAGTGACACACACGGTCCAGTTGCACTTCAGAACAGGATGGCTCAGTGCAGGTGCCTGGAGAAGCCATCTCTGTGTGCAGGCCTCCAGATCAGCCTCCAGGAGCAAAAAGCTGGGAGTGCTGCACAGCAACCACTGCCCCCAGCTGGGACACAACCCATGCCAAAACCTGCTACCAAAACTCTTTCTTTCTCCACTGGGCACCCCCTGCCACAGCCTGCTGAGCTGCCCCTCTCACTCATTGTTCACTGCAAATCAACAGGAATTGTTGCTTCTTCCCTAAGTCCCCTAGTCATCAGAAAAACTCCATCTGTGCACAGCACAGGCAGGAGAGAGGCTGCACTGCAGGGAAAGCTCTGAGAAAGACCCAGAAAGTTCTGGGACACCCAGAAACAACACACTCACTTCAGCTCTTCGATGGCCTGGCAGTTCTGCAAGCCCATGATCAAGTGATCAGTCCCAAATTCCATCACACTGCTAGAGGTCAGTCTGCAAAACAGCAAGGACCAAATGAGAAGGTCAGGTCTCAGCATAGAGGAAGAGGAGTTTAACTTCACTGACAGACAGGCTGCCCAATCCCAAGCCCCAGCCAGCAGAGCTGTCAGGGACCAGTAAGTTTGGAGAGATTTCCACACCTCCTGGGTACAGGAGTACAAGGGCTATGAGTCCAGAGGTGTTGACATGAGGTACATCTACCAAACAGGAGAGTCTCCACCTGGGCCCACCAGCCCTCAGTGCTCCACTGGGCAGAGCTGCCCTTCCCATGCCAGGCAGCTGAGGAGCCCTGTGAAAAGGACTGATGCTGCTCCTGACAAAACAAGCTCTTCCACACTGGAGAGCAGTGTAAAATCTCCCACAATGGAAACAAGAGCCAAGGCCTCAGTCTCAAGTTGCTTTCACTTCAAAAAGAGGTGGAGGAGAAAACTTCAAAGCATGCACATGGTGCCCCTGGAACCACCTTTAGCATGAACTGCAGAAAGCTGCTGAGTTCCCAACTCAGACACAGCTCAGCAGAGGTCACAAAGCTCTTGGACAAATTCCAGACAAAAGAGTGTTCCAGAGAGGACTGGGGGCAGGCACCAGGCTGAGGAAACAATACAGATGTGGAGAAGACCACATGTGGGTACATACCCAAACTTCTTCAGCTCTGGAAGAGGCAGCAAAATCCCAACTAGCATTTCTGCTTCAGCACTGTGGAGCTCAACATGAGACCAACTGCAAGAACAGAACAACAGATCTGGGCTGTGTCCATGAGGATGGAAGGTCTGTGCCAAGCCCATGGCTTAAGCACCTCACTGCTGAGACACTGAAGTGTCACAACACTGACACTTGACAAGGTCCCATGGGAGTTCCCAGCCAACACAGGAGAGCACAGGTTATCTGGGCACAGGGGAGATTTAGAGGCATCAAAGCATCTGCCATAGGAGGCAAGGCTGGGAGAGCTGGGGCTGTTCAGCTGGAGAGGAGGAGACTGAGAGGGGAATCTCATCAGTGCTGATCAATATCTGCAGGGGGTGTCAGGAGGATGGGCCAGACTCTTCTCAGGGGTGTCCAGTGACAGGACAAGGGGCAATGGGCACAAACTGGAGCACAGGAAGCTCAAGCTAAACATCAGGAAAAACTTCTTGACTGTGAGGGTGACAGAGCCCTGGGACAGGTTGCCCAGGGAGGTGCTGGAATCTCCTTCTCTGGAGACATTCCAAGCCCACCTGGACATAGTTTTGTGCAGCCTGCTCTGGGTGACCCTGCTCTGGCAAGGGGGTTGGACTAGATGATCTTCAGAGGTCACTTCCAACCCCTGACACTGTGATTCTGTGATACCCCAGGAAGCCACTGGCTTTATAGGTCATTTCTGTTTTCCATCCAAACACTCTGAGTAGGGGACCCAGAGGGCAGGGACTGGTCCTTGTGCTGGCATCTCCCTTGCTTGCTGTGTACTTCCCTGCACACCCATGGACAAGCTATTCCCTTCCCAAAACATTCTCTACAACTTCTGGCAACTCACCTCAGCTCCTGGAGCAGAGCACATTTGTCACGAACCCTTTGGTAGAAGCCAGCAGGCTGGATTTCTGGACTGTACAGATCCAACCTGCAGGACACAAACACAACCCAGCTGTCTGTGATGACCAGCAGATGCCCCCTGGAGCATCTGCTGCCCCTTGGGACCAGGAACAGGTCCAAGCATTGCAAGTGCCCTCCCTGGCCTCTCCTGCTGTTCTTCAGCAACGCCAAGATAAAGACACTAGTGCTGCCCTCTTTCTACATGATCCTGAAGAAACTAGCATGTCTGCCAAGTGCTCAGGTCTCCTGAGTGCTTCTGGTCTGGTGGGGAAAACAGGTGGATTTTTCCACCTTGTGCAGGTCCAGTGTGGGCCTGAAGGAAGGTGGCCCCAAGGACACAAGCATGTGAGCAAGGTTCATTCTGCAGATGGGGCACAGAAGCACCCTGAGACCGAGCCCACAGAGACCAGAGCCTCAGACACTCTGAAGATATTTTTCATCCCATGGTGAGTCTCAGAAGAAGCAGAAAATAAGGACAAATAGTCACTTTCTCACCTGCTAACAACTGCTTCCACTTTCTCCAGGCAGTGTGGGAACCTCATGCCCAATTGGAAGAGGGTTTTATCTTTACATATCCTGGAAAGGCAGAGATTAGAGCACATCAGCAGCCTCTGAACTCCTGAGGGAGAACAGATGCTATTTTCTAGAATTAAAATCAGGACTGGGTGGCACAGGAGGATGCTGGAGCACCAAAGCTAATCACCCACACCTGCACAGGTTTGCAATATTTACACTAGTTACAAAGTTGGCCTAATCTGGGCACCCTTTCTCCCAAGGGAGACCAGGAACATGGTCTCCTTTCCACTCCACCCGAGGTGTGTGATCACAAACCCTCCTGCCAGACATTTGGGTCAAACTTGCTTCAAGTTGGCTAATGGCTCACAAATGCACCAGAGACAGAGAAGAAAGGCCAGAAGAGCAAGCTGAAGTGCTGGCTTCAATTCCATTTCCTTAAAAATATGAGGCTAAAAGATCCCAGAACTGGGAGGTGCTACTTACGTGATCTCAGTAATGTTTCCACAGGCCTGGACAGCCAGCTGGAGAAGGTTCCTGACACTTTCCTTACATACCCATGGCTCTTCTATACTGCAAGGCAGAACAGGCAGCTCTGCTTTATTCACCTGCAGGGACCCACCCCTGCCAGCTGAGTGCTCAGCACTCCCCCACACACCAGAGGCTGCTTTGCTCAGCAGAGTGAAGTCTGGGCAGGAAACACGGTGCCACCTTGGGAACAAAGAGAGGAGCAGCCCAGCTTCCCTGCTGGGAGGACACAACCAGCAGCTTTCCTCCTGCCTACCCACCACTGGCTGCAAGGAGAGGGAGCCTGGCCCTTGGGCTACACATTCTGGGAGAAGTGAAGACTTGGGAAGCCAGGTGAACCACAGGGGGCTTGGGTGAGACCTGGCTGGGGACACAGTAGGAACATGTTCACCAGACTCAGCAACCTCCTGTGCCAGGCAGGAACAGGTCTGGAGACAGAACAACGTATGGCCCCAGCTTTATGTGATGCTCAATAGGAGCCAAGGAAATAAAGCTGAAATACCAACAACTTGGAGTCACCTCTGGGAATTTCTCAGCTCAACACCACCTATCTTTGGAAGAAGCTCAATTCATTTTCATTTTTGGTGAAAGGAGAACTGGGATGCTGAGAGCAGCCTGAGAGGAGCAGCTAAAGCAGCACAGTGACACAGTACCTGATTTTCAGAGGACACAGGTTTTTCCTCAGGGAATGCAAGAGTTTCTCTGCAGCCTGGACTGTCATGTTGTTATTTGAGGATCTAGAAGCAAAGGTCAGTGGAGTGAAGGACTTTGAAAGGAGCTCACCCAACAGGCCCAAGGAGCCCTTAACTCACATGTACTCTGTCAGGTCAGTGCACTTTTCCAGGAGCAAACACAACTTTTCCAAGTGCTCTGGCTGAAAGTTGCACTCTGCCAGTCTGAGAGGATGCAAAAGAGAACAGTGTCAGTTCCTGCCAAACAGTCCAGGCTGAGCCAGAAATCTCAGGCACCACCACCTTTCCCTGCAGAGAAAGAAGGATGGCACTAAAACCTTCAAAGCCCTGCAGGGCTTCCAAAAAAAGCTGGTGGCCACACCTGCAAAGCCTCTGTTGAGATGCTCTGGGACAGCAGATGTCCTTGCTAATGGCAAAGCTTTTTGTGGTCCCCTGTCCTGTGGCAGGGACTGTAGGGACAGCTACAAGTTCCCAGGTGAGGAACAGTCAGTGGGTGCACAGACAAAGGGACGTGGGGTTCTCAGGGACATGGGAAAGCTCTGCTCAGAAAGTGAACTGAGGGGAACTGAGCAGCTCTTAGTGTGAAATATCACCGTGCCAGGAGCTGGGCGGACAAGAGGTTTTGTCTGCCTTGTCCGTGGAAGAAGGACACAACCTTTGTCAAAGAAACCACCAAAAAAATATACGTATAGTTACCTCAAAATCTTTCTTGGGTCATCTCTGCTTGTTAACTTGATGATTAAAGTTGCTTTGAAGCACAAGCTGCACAGGGAAGACACGTGAGTGTAAGACGTGGAGGGAAAATGACTATTTTTCCCAGTGGTCAGAAATGAACAATACACCAAAGTGCACAAAGCAAGACACAGTGACAGGCCCAGCTCTCCTCACCCTGCAACAACCAGCCCAGAGAAAACCTCCAGCAAGGTTTCACTAATGCTAAAGTGGCAGAAGGCAGCACTGGTGGTTGGAGAAGCCATCCTGATCTGCCTTTCTTCTGCCTGTCCCTGCACCCTCTGCCAAGTTCTGGGAAGAGCTAAACCAGGAGAATGAGCTGCCTGGGAAGAGCCCAGCCAAAAGCTTCAGCACCCACGTTGAACTGCAGGAACGAACGGGAGTGACCCTGTTAAACCTGGTTGAGGGCAGACCAGCTGCTGGACAGACCAGCTCCAGCACTGCCACAGGCAGACCTACAGCACAGCCCTCAGACTTGTGTCCATGAGAAGCAGCAGCTCATGGCAGTGCAATTCCTGCCCTGACGTGGGTCATTTACAGATACAGACACAACAACTAATACAGCTGAACACCTCTGTCTTTATACACAAAAATGCCTTGGCCCTAACCAATACCAGTTCTCCTCCTGTCCTCCCTGGCAGCTGTTTGGCCAGTGGAAATGGACATAAACTAGTTTTGCAACAATTTTTCCTTATGCATAAATGCAGATAAAAAACATGGCCCTTGCCGTTATTATCTGAAGGTCACAAACTTTCTGATCATCAAGAGGAAAACACGCAGGGAAGAACTGGAAACGAGTGGTGAGAAATACCCACCTGACTTGGACTTCAGTGGTATTTCCAGATGTGGCCAAGACATTTATGAGATGCAGAACTCCATCCTGAGAAATCCCATTATGGCTGAGGCTACACAGAAGACAGGAGGGTTTGTCAGGTATTAAGAGCTGGGCTTGGCCCCAGGCTCCTCAGTCACAGAGGTGAAATTCAAGTTGCCACCCAAGGCAGAGCAGCTGGTGGGGTGCTGGGCCCCTTTGGCTGTGCTGAAGGCACCAAACCCCTCCAAGTGGCACCATCACCCACTGATGACCTGGGTGATGCAGCCAACTCTTGCCCTCCAGGGGCAGCTGATGGCTGGAGCACTTGCTTCCCCAGCAGGAAGGGAAGAGGCTGGTATAGGGTCCAGTTGAGCTCACAGCTTGAGGTATTCAAAGAGGACAACATACACAAGCAAGTGCTGAACAGAAAACTCAGGGGACTGCGTCAACTTCTGTCACACAACCCTCTCTGGGCCTCGTCCCCTCCTGCTGATGCCAACAGAAAGATTTTTCCTTCCTTGACAGGTTTTGGATCAGACCCTGAATCACCCTGCCCTGGAGGGGCTCACTCAGACCTTCCCTCCTAAGGCAGGAGTGGGAAAGAAGAATGCCAACCAGCTTGAGGAGGGGTCAGCTGAACCCTTCTGGTGGGGCACCTCAGGTTCACAGGAGGTTTCCTTACTTGAGGGAGCAGGTAACAGGCACCCGACCCAAGTGATCCAGGAGGCACCGCAGGCCTTCGTCTCCCAGCTGGTTCCTGGAGAGACTGGAAGGCAGAAGAACAAGATGGGCAACCAAAAGTCAGCTGCAGTGCTCCAGCTTTGAAGGAAAAAGCCAGACTTCCTGGTCTTAAATCCCAGCTCAGCCATTACAGGTCTGTGTAAACAAAACTGCTGCCCTATCAAACTACCTCATGCACCAGCCCCAGGGCAAGCTCAGGTGAAGAGCTCTGGACACAAAGCTCAAAGCAGAGCTCAGATGAAGCAACAAATGCCCCAAAACAGCCTCACCATGAAAATCCCAGGGAATTCTTCCCACCAGCTCAAGCTTCTTCAAACATCTCCATAAAGGACCTGATTACTAATCCATGTGGTGTTGAAATAGCTGGAAGGAGCACACATGGACACAGAGCCAGGATGGGAAGCCCCAGGCAATGCTGAACCACACCAGCCCAGCCCAACTGCCCAAGGTCAAGGCAACAGCTCAAGCCCCACTTACTCCACTTCTGCCAGCCACCCACGCTGCTCCAGGACTCCACAGAGCTCATCCACCTGCCCAGGACCAATAGCACAGTCTGTCAGCCTGGATATGAGACAGCAAGAGGGTTGAGGCCCAGTCTGAGCAGCAAGAACTGCCCATCAGCACTTGTGCTTTTCCACCAGGCTCTGTGCAACACTCCCTGGAAGGATGCCCTTGGCTGTGCCCTTGTCTGACACTTCTCATCTCCATGAGGTCAGTAATGGCACGTTGTTGGTGGGAAACAGATCCTGGCACCTTTTTGCCATCTCCTTGGTGCCCAACTGGAGCCATGCTACAGTCTTCTTGGCAGAGGCACCCAGCAACCACCCATCCCAAAGGGGCTGCAGACACATACCACAGACACATCACACAGATGCTCAGGTGGAGATGACCACCCAGAATATGAGGCACACACTTGAAAAATGTGGTGGCTGGAGCTCAGTTCAGCTGCTCTGTGCAGCAGACTTTGGTACCACTGGAGATGCTTATGAGTAGTCCAGGTGCCACTCAAAAAAGACACAGGGCTCTGCTATTTCAGCACATCTAAATGGTTCTGAGTTGCAGTGAGGCAGCTGAATTGAGCCCCAAAGCCTCAGCTACCAGCCCAGGCTCCTTGACTACCAGCCCATGAGGTCTTCACACCACAGATGTGGTTACTGCAGCAGCATTTCAAACCAAACCAAACCGCAGCAGCTGCCACCGAGCACTGCACACGGGTACCTGCAGGAGGTCTTTTGACTTTGCACGCCTGCTCCTAAATGCAAAACAGCATTTTCACTGGACCTGAAGCAAACATAAAAGACAGCCCTTCAGCAATGCTCTCCAAGCATAACAAGCTTGGCATCCCTTTGCAGCTGAGCTGCTGGGGCCCAAACCTTCTGAGTGTCTTACCGGACTTCCACTATTCTGATCCGCTCACAGAGGTTGATGGAGTTGGTGAGTAGGACAGTGCAACGTGGGGAAAATGTGTTCTTCCTGATACTGAAAGGGAGGAGAAAGAAAGAGAAATGAAATCAGCTCCCAAGAAGAAGGTGCTGACACTCACAGCCACATTTTCCCATGTTTTCACTGGATCCATCCCATTTAACTCCAGATCAGTAAGTAAGGATCTGAAGTTTTAAGCCTTTAATAAAGAAGAGTCTCCTTTAGTCTCCTTGGACTAAAGGGGAGCACAGACCAAGGTGCACACTGAGCAAGTTCTCTTCAGGGCTACAGGAGCACACACACTCCAGACTGGAAGCAACCTCCTGAGTGAGCAAATCCAGCCTCTTGAGACACCACAGGCCCTCCCTGCTACAGCACCTTGCAAAAGATGGGCAACCCCCTCTGGGCTTTTTGTCCACATGCTGGGAGTGCCCTTGCCCCAGGCAGCACCTCCCTGCCCAGGTTCCCAGGCTAAAGGGCTGATGACTTTGGGCATTGAGTGTGGCAGGATGGCAGGTGCCAGGATGGCAAATCCCTGCAGGGCAGAGCTGGGAGATGCTGCCCATGCACACGGGTGCTGTGCTGTCACCCTGTGTCAACCAACAAGTCCTACACCAGCTACGGATGCTGGAGTCACATCCCATGGGACCTGCTGAGTGAGGATTGTCTGGGATGCTGTGCCTAGGGTGGGTACTTCTCCTCTTGTCCTTTTTCCCCCTCCTCTGTATATCATTAAAGGACAAAGGTTCAGTGCTGCTTTGGTTCTAGAAACAAGACAGTAATGAGTTTTAAAGACTTTCTGCTCTTTTTTTTTTGCTTTTTTTTTTTTGCCTGCCTTGTTCATCTGCAATTACTGAATAATGCTCCTAAGACCCATCAGCACCTTCCAAACCCACGTCTCAGGGCAGCAATCCAAGCAGGGACCCCAGCCCTTACCTCAGCAGTGTCAGGTGGCACAGGCATGGCAGGAAGCTCAGCAGTGTCTCAATGCTCTGGTCACTCAAGGAATTTCCAGACAGACTGGAAAACATGCAAGGAAACAAATGCCAAGAGAAACAGGGAAAATCTGCCATTATTTCTAGAAAATCTCCAGACACAAATGTGCATGGAGGTGTTACATGCAGAGTCTGAAAAAGGACATGTCCAGACATGCCCTCACAGGCTGACACCTCTAAGTGTTTCTCTACATCCTATAGCCAATTCATGGTGCAGTTTTAAGAGTCTTCCTTCTCCATCACTGTAAGTTCATCAAACCATGTTAGTGATGTACTTTGGGCATGCAAAATGGCTATTATGTTACTGTTGTTTGTTATTACTCAGTTTTGGTTCTGATCAGGGTTTTTCTGATTGTCTTAGTGCCCAGCTCCTGCCTGGAGTGACCAGCTCTTCAGGAGTCTGGTTTCTGGCCAGGTGTTCCTGCCTGACTCGAGGAGTAGAGGACAATATTTGTGTCCAGCCATAAGACTAAGGAGGATTATGAGAACATGGGACAGAACCACAGGACAGCCCAGATCGGAAGGGACCTCGAAAGATCATCTGGTCCAACACTGCATGGGAAAGGGAGTCTAGATGGAATTGTCTAGCACCCTGTCCCACTGCCTCTTGAAAACCTCCTGTGATGGGGATTCTACCACATCCCAAGGAGGTTGTTCCAGGGACTGATCTCTCTGTAAAACATTCATTTCTTATGTTGAAATGAAATATCTGGCAGTGCAATTTGTACCCACTGCCCCTTGTCTTCTCCATGGGGCTCACTGTGAAGAGAGAGCTGCCATCCTCTTTGTGGCCACCCTGTAGGCACTAGAATGCTGGGATGAAGTTCACACCACCCCAGAGGTGTTTTGTGAGTTTACACACAGAGGTGGTAGACTCAGGAGGGGTCAAAGTCTTTGAAACAGAGAGGACAGTAGAAGACGTGGGTTTATCTAAGCTACTGGATGAAGATTGGAGGAGGTTTCTAGGGGACTGTGGGGGGAGGAGAGCCAACTGACACCACCTGGTAACCTGTGTCTGTGGCTTGGGGAAACAGAGAGACATACAGGGTTGCTGAGTACAACACTTACTCAATTTCTGTCAGCTGGGGACATTGAGCCAGTATCTGGCACAGCCTGGTCATGTCCTCTGGCCCCACTCTGCAGTCCCTGAGACTGAAGCAAAAAATACCCTCAGGAGTGAAACACCTCCCATGACCCCAGCCTGGCAACACTCCTGTTGCATCCCTGAGCCTCACAGCTCAGGACAAGACCCACAGCAACCCTCTCACTTCCACCACGTCCTTTTTGCTACCCACAGTGTGGGACTGACAAGCCCAAAGCTCTGACAAGCAGAGGATTTCAGCAGCTCTGAGCTGATTCCAGAGAGTCACCCCACCAACATGCCATATTATTTTAAGTGTTGCCTCCCTAGAGCCACTCACTGGTACTTCAAAATTGTCTTGGGAGACTGGAAAGCACATTTCCCTGCTCAGTGCTGAGTCAGGTCCCCCACAGCAGGGCTGGGAATGTTGCCTCCTATGTCCCTTTCCAAGAAGGAAATCATAGAAGCCTTCCTGGGTGACAAACTGGCAGGTGTCCACGGGACACATGCAGCAGCCAGATCTGTATCTTATTATGTATGAGTAGAAGCTTCCCCTGCAGAAATCAAGACAACCTCCATGAGCCCAGCCAAGCAAAAGACACCCTACTTATGCTCCCACACCTGCCTGTGGCAGTGGGCATCCCAAGTCTATCCCAAAGAGTGAATTATTCTCCCAGCACCTCTGGCATATCCCGGTGTCTCTCCAGTGCCCACAAAGCACAAAGACATGTTGGCCTGGGTTGATGCCAACTGGCCCCATTCCTTTCAGGCTTTGCCAACTTAAACCAGCCAAGGCCTTCTCCCTTGCAGTTAATTTTGGGGACTGGCCTTCCTAACCAGTGTCAGCAGGGAAGGGGATGAGAGAGAGATGTGGCATCAGCCACAACGGGATCCAGAGGGAAGAAATATCTGCCTCCCAGGAGAGCTGAGCCTGCCTCTGAAGGTGGCAGAACCCAGGGCAGCTCTCTGAGGAGACACAGCTGGAGGGACAGGTCTGCTCCACACAGGACACCAGTGACACAGAGTGGCACTGCCACCCCTCCCCACACCCCTGGGTCACTAAGGGGGCTGGGGCAGCCATACCTAAAGCACTGCCCGGGTGCTGGGTACTTGGGATGTACCAGGAAACTGCTTCTCCATCTGCTGGTACTTCTGGCCCTGGGGAAAGAAGGGGAAAAGAACCCCATAAGTTGTGCTGCTGGTGTTGCTCCCTGGAGCTGATCCCCACGCTGCAGCTAGGGAGGGGGGTGAGGTGGTGGCAGTGGCCTCATGTCTGCCTTTTCTCACCACCTGCCAGAATTAGTCTCATGCCATCTCCAGAAGAAAAAGGGCCTTATCCTCCCTCTTTCAGCCTCCAGAGAGCTCTGCATCCACTCAGCACTTTGGGAATTTGCTCTGCCCTGGCCCAGGAGGGAGAAAACTGCAGCCCCAGCAGCAGTGGGATCCTGCTGGCTGCTCCACACCTCAAGCCACTGCCACAGCTCACCCTGCTTCCACCACGCTGCCCAGTTTGGAGCCAGATGGCTCTTTCCTTGGCACACCTCAGGGACTCAGCATCAGCACTGATATCAGATCTCATAAGGAGGAATTTGAAAGGCTCAGGCAGGTGAGTGAGTAGAATTTTACCTGATTCTCTCCCAAAAGGTGAGCTGAACCACCTGCGTGTGTCTGAAGCTGTAACCAGAACAGAACATCATTAGGATGGAGCTGGAAGAGACCTGCTCCTGTCTCACTCCCCCAGAACTACAGCTTGAGGGCTGAAATGGCAAAAAACAGAAGTAGCACTCCTGGCCATACCTGATGGTCATTGTTTTGATGTGTTCCAATGTAGACAAGGACTGAGCTAAGAAAAACACCGAGTTCATGGAGATCTGGTTGTCATTAAGCCTGCAGGAAGAAAATAAACCAGCTGCTGCAAGCAGAACAGCTGTAGGTTACACTGCATCACTCAAACACAGGGATCCCTGCCCAGCACTCCCAGAAGCTGCTGCTTTGCCACCTTCTGCCTGGGTTTCCAGCTGGAGTTCTGCAAACACAGCTCCCTTAGTGTTTTTTACATTTGTCCCTCACTTTTAGAGCTCAGATAATGACAGAATAATTGAGGCTAGAATGGACTTCTGGAAATGACCCAGTCCAGCTCTCCTGCTCAGAGGAGGGCCAGCCCAGAGCAGACTGGGTCTGGAGCACCCCCAGAGATGGAGAATCCCATGATCTCTCTGAACAACCTGTTCCAGTGATTGCCCATCCTCACCACACCAGTGTTTTCTTATGGTTAAATGGAATTCCTTGTATTTAAACACCTGGATGCAAGGTAAAAACAACTCTTTGGTGTTAAGCACAGTTGTGGCAGTCCCAAAACCACACCCAGTAAGACGATGCTCAGCTCTAGCAGGTCTGTCACCAGTATCTAGTGTAACCTTGGGCAGTGCCCTTGATGCTGGGGAAAAAGAAAGATCAAGAACAGCTGCAGACTGTGAGTAACTGGAGCAGTCTTGGCTGGAGGACAGCTTATTAATCCAACAGGAACAAGGAATCTCTCTCTCAGTAAAGCAGGATGGTGCCGTGCTCCTGAAGTCACAGTCCTGCACTGGCAAGGGCAGTGCCAGGCAACATACCCAGATTAACACTGAATTCAGACCCTACTGCTGAAGCTGGAGCTCCCCAGCATTTACCTTCCAAAGGTGCCTAGCCCAGCACAGAAAGGACTGTTCTCCTGATGAGGAACCAGGAAAGAAAAAATTCAGTGGTCTGATGAAGATCTCAGCATGTTTTACAAGCCAGGGGCCACACCTGCACACCGGCCCCTCTGTGTCCTTCGTGGAAGGCTGAGCACACAAGCTCCAGGCTCTGCTCTCCACCAAGCTTCAAGTGGAGTCAATCTGGCCTGGACTAGAGGTGGGGACAGACCAAGTAGCACAGTGGATCTACCCTCAAGAGACCGAGAATGTAACTGCACTTGATCCTGACGAGTCCTTCCCAAATGTGGACTGTGCTTCTGCAACCAATACTCCCACAAAAACCCATCTCTGAGTTAAGAGAAGCAGGAGCTACTCACGTGAGAGAACTTAACATTTTCAAACTTGGGAGGAACTCAAACAGCTGCAGAAGTCCCTCATCTCCCAGATAATTACTGGACAGGCTGGGATTTAAAGAAAAGCATTTCATTTTCAGAGGAAAAAACAACAGGCATAATCAGTAACAAGAGCTCTGAAAGCAGAACCTGGGCACCCTAATCCCAAGAGCACATGCACTGCCCCTCTCCACGGACAGCTGGAGCCTACAGGGAAACCAGAGACTGGACTTAACCATCAGGAGGCAGCCAGAAACCTTTCTCAGGGCTTGTCCTGTTCTCATGTCCACCAGTGACCCCTCTGGACTGACAATGAATGCAGTTACCAGGGACCAGGACTCCACAGCTCGGGAGTTAACCTCAACCTGGACAGGCCCAACAGAGGAGCCACAGGCTAGTCCTGGAGAAGCAAACCCTCTGCTATGAGAGCCTATGAGAGTCTGCTATGAGTCTGCTATGAGACTAGAGTGGGCTATGGCCCAGCTGAGATCAAGGGACATGGTTGCTTAAGAAGAGCAAAGGCTAAAAATCTCTTCTACAGGCTGCCAGGCTGAAGGGAACAGCCAACCCTCAGGTGGTGGCACATAGACTAGGTGCTTTTGCTGGTCCTTGTTCTATCCTTAAAACCAAGATAGAGGGTTGTAGGAGGTGTGGGTTGGCCTTTCCCACCAGGGAAAGGGCTGGGGCTGCTCACCTATGGTGCTAGCAAATGGGATGGCTCCCCACACTGAGCTAACAGAAGAAAGGGCTTTGGTGGTGAAGGTCCTTGCACACCAGAGTGGGATCACCAGCAAAAACACAGGCTGCCACCCTGGGCTTAGGTGGGACTCTTCATGCTCTGCAGCTTTGCTCCCAAACGGCCCAAAGGCAAAAATGACAGGGCAAGGTTTCACAGCTTTTGTAGCACCTGAAGTCAGGTTAAGTGATCCAACAGTCCCCTCTGCAGCCTTTGCCTAAGAGAGCACTAGAACTGCACATCTCCTTGGCAAAGGATCTCAGCCCCTGCCAGGCCCTGCCTTTCCTGGGCTACGTCCCTACCAGTGTCTCTGTACAGAATCAGAATCATAAAACCATAGAATCATGAAGGTTGCAAAAGACCTTCAAGATCATCAAGTCCAACCATCCACCCTACAACCCCCAACCACTAAACCATCTCCTGAAACACCATGTCTGCCCCTTTTTTGAACATTTCCAGGGATGGTGCCTCCCCCACCTCCCTGGGAAACAAGCAAGAGGCATTTTTTCAATATCCCAAAGAACTGCAGATAAAGACCATAAGGGTTAAGAAGGACTCACTCCAGCTCAGAGATGCTGCCACATTCCTTCAGGACTGCAAAGAGCTTCTGTAGGTCACTGCCTTGAAAACAACCATCTGTCAGTCTAGGGGGAAAGAGAAATCAATAGCCCATGGCTGCAAACAAGGTTTTTGTATTTCAGAAAACCAGAGAAGAAACAAGGAGATAATACTGAAAGAGGAAATCCCATTCATCTCTTGTCTGCAAACAGAGAATAAAGAGACAGGGTAAAGAAAACTTGTGGCACAACAAAGAACCAGGTCCCCAAGGTCCTGGTTAGAAGGTTTAGGCACAACTTCTTTCTTCCTCAGTGAAGTCTACAAATCAGACAGGAACACTCTGTCCTGGAGACAGCATGATCTGGGAGGCATCTGAGCACAGGTCCAGCTCGGGATGTATTTCTCCAAATTTCAGCAGACAACTCCCCAACACCCCCAGCTCTGTAACCACCAGGTCCCCACCTCCCAGCTGGGAGCTGAGGCAGCAACCACACCATCTCTGTGCCACGTCTGTGAGCAAGATAAACCCACCATCTGCCTGCACTCCTAGAAGACCACAGACACAACCACAGAGCTTCCAGTGCTGCAAGCAGGCACTGTGAACACACTGACAAATGACAGACTGAAGGGGCCTTTGCCAGTTCTCCTGTGATTACATTAGAGATACAGGTTACATCAGCTAGAAGATCCAGAGATAGGATAAGACATGAAATACAATAAGAATTTGCCATGATACCTTATTTTTTGGAGGGTATTTGGTGTCTGGTTTTCCTCTCCATGTTGCTGGTCATCAGTAGGGAACACAAGCTTTGCCCTAAGGGAGCACAAAACCAGACAAGGATAAAACAACTTCAGCAGTTCAGCAG